GTTATAGAACTTTTCCTTAATCATTCCTCCTTCCAGTTAATCACTTCTGATCCCCAGAGGCTAATACTTTCTGTTTTCCACTATCAAGAGATAAGGTTTGCTCTTTCTCAGGCTTCATATAAATGGAACAATACCATATAGACTCTTTTTGTGTCTGTTCAATATAAGGTTTTTGAGATACACCATTTTGTGGCATGTAACAGAAGTTTTTATTTTTTTAAGCATTGAGTAGTATTTTATGGCATGAATATATATACCAAAATTTTTCTTTCTATTCTCCTTCTTAAGGATATTTGTACTATTTTTAGTTTGAAGCTATTGTTAAATATTTATTATGTATCAGGACTGGAGATTGAATTGAGGTGTGCTCTACCACTGAGTCAATTCCCAGTCCCCACCACCTTTTTTTTTAGACTGGGTCTCACTAAGTTGACCAGGCTGGCCTCCAGCTGCAGTTCTCCTACTTGAGCCTCCCTAGTTGCTAGAATTACAGTTAGGAGCTATTATGACCAAAGTTACTATTAGCATTTTTTTTTCTATGAGCATTCTTGTATAAGCCTTTTTATAGAATGTTTTTGTTTCTCTTGTATAAATTAGTAAGGGTTGAAATTCATGACTTAAAAAGCAGGTGTATATTTGACTTTATAAGAAACCATTGAATAATTTTAAAAAGTAGCTATATCAATTTTCTGTCCCACCAACGATTTATAAAAATTGCTCATCTTCAAAGCAATTTTTCAATTTATTGAAATCAGCTTTGTCTGATATATAACTACATTTACTTGTTTGTACTCAGTATTCCATGTCCCCTTTTAATGTCCCCTTTAAAAACTGGACTACATCTTATAATTTTTTTCTCTTGAAGATAGTATATATTTGGGTCTTATTTTTTTAATCCAGTTTTATGATTTCTGTCTTTTAAATAGTGTTTGGTTTATTTGCATTTGATGTAATTATCAGTATGGTTTGGTTTAAGCCTACCAACTTTGTATTATTTTTATGTGTGTGTCTTAACTGTTTTTATTCCTCTGTTTCTCATTTCCTGTCTTCTTTTCCACTAATTGAACACTTTTAGAATAGGATTATATTCTCTCTGTTGAATTTAGATTTTGAAGCCTTTTTATTCTTAATAGTTACTCTAGATATTCCAACATCCTTAAATTATTCAAAGCCTACCTTGACATAATGTGTATTGCTTTACAAATAATGTTATAGCTTCAATTTTTAGTGTCATTTGTACACATATACATTATAATCATATATTATCATATATTTTATGATAATATGGAACAATACCATATATACTCTTGTATAGTATATATACAGATACAAAAAGTATATATGGCATTGTTCCATTTATATGAAGCCTGAGAAAGAGCAAACCTAATCTCCTATTATCATATATTTTAGTTACACATATTTTAAATCCTTTACTATATTATTAATTCTGCTGTAAAGAATCAATAATAATTTAAGAAATTTCTTTTATGTTTGACTTTTCTGATGAATATTTGTGTTATCTATGGGTCTGATTCTGTTGACTATTTTTTTCCTTTTAAATATGGGGCACATTTTCTGCTTCTTAGCATTTCTCATGATTTCATTTTATGCTGGATATCATGTAAAACAGGACAGTAGAGAGTGTGGTAAATTATATTTTCCTCAGAAAATTTTATATTCTTTCCTATGTTAGCCCTTTAGAGTGGTACCTAAGCCAACCTAATCTGCAATTGAGTTGGATCTGGGCTTTTAAAAACTTTTGGCACATTCACTTTGCCATCAGCTTCACATGGGAAGAAAGATAAGGATTATCCCTATAGTAGGTCTTAGAATTTTCCCATTGGAGAAGTCTATGCCTTACATGAGAAGTTATGCTGCCAATATTTCACATCACTGAGGATCCCAGAATTATCCACAACATGCTACAAGTTGGAAGATCTCTCGCCACGCTGAAGTTCTGCCCTTAGTCTATGTTGAACTGCTGCTTTGCATTCAATGAAGAGTTTATGAAATTTCTCTACATTCTCCTACCCTGCCTTCAGCTGTTAGCAGGATGCTGCATGGTCCTTGAATAAATTAAAATCAATTGCAGACACCTTGTTTATTGTGCTTAATGCACTTAATGCACTTTACAGATATTGTGTTCTTTATCAATTGAAGGTTTGTGGCAACCATGCATTGAGCTAGTCTATTGGCACTATTCTTCCAACAGATCAAGTGATTGCTACCATTTTTTAGCCATGAACAATTGTTAAATTAAGGTATGTAGGTTTTTTTCAGACATAATGCTCTACTGTGGACTTTGTAGTTGTATTAGGGTTAGGTCCTGCAAGTTTCTGGTCACAACATTTTTGTCATTTTATTTTTAAGACATCATATTTAACACACATTATTGATTTGTCTCATTGAACTCACACTGTTTTAGTCAGCTTTTTCACTGCTTTGACTAAAGGACCCGAATAGCACAATTATAGAGGAGGAAGAGGGCATTTGAGGGCTCACGGTTTCAGAGGTCTTGGTCCATAAAAGGCGAATTCCGTTTCTCTGGGCTCAGGTGAGGCTGAACATCATGGTGGCAAAGAGTGGCAGAGGGAAGCAGCTCACGTCACTGGGATCAGGAAGCAGAGAGAGAGACTCCACTCTCCACAGCCACGCCCCCAATTAACCTCCTCCTCCAGCCACACTCACTTGCCTCCAATCCCTACTCAGTTAATCCCATCAGGGATTAATTCACTGGTTGGGTTAAGACTCTCACAATCCAATCATTTCTCCTCTGAACCTTCTTGCATTGTCTCACACACGGGCTTTTGGGGGACACCTAATATCCAAACCATAATAGCAGTTTACAGTATAGTATAAACATAATATTTATATGCACAACAACTCTTGTGACTTGCCTTATTGGGATAGTTTGCTTTATTGGAGTGCTCTGGAACCAAATTTGTAATATCTCTGTATAATTTTTAAAATTAGAGAATTGCATAACAATGTAACAACATCTCTACTTTGCCACATATTGTTTCTACATTTACTACAGAATTTCACTTACAATTAATCAACTAAAAAAAAACCAGTTTTTATCTTACTTTAGCCAAGGAAAGAATACATTTCTCAGGTAAACTGTATTAATATGCCATTGCTAAGTACAGATACTTTTTTTTTTTTTGGTACTGAGGATTGAACTCAGGGGCACTTGATCACTGAGCCACATCCCCAGCCCTATTTTGTATTTTATTTAGAGACAGGATCTCATTGAGTTGCTTAGTGCCTCACCATTGCTAAAGCTGGCTTTGAACTCACAATCCTCCTGTCAGCCTCCCGAGCTGCTGGGGTAACAGGCGTACACCACCGTGCCAGGCTCAGATTTATTTTAACCAGATAAAAGGATTAAGAGAACATGTAGTAACAAAAATATTTAATATTAATTATACAAAAACATTTATGGCTTGGTATTAATGTGCAAATACCAAAAGAACAGACTGTTTCTTTTTCTATAAATCATGGTCAAAATTCCATTACTTAAAATTTCCCATGCCTGTATATGAGAGATGCCAGAAGCAGACACCTGGTCACCTGGGGTCACATTGTATGAGGCTCTTAAACTATTAGAGAATATGCAATGTCTTATTGGATCCCTGGCACCAAGCACAGGGTGGACACAGAATAAATAGCTTTGAGAGAGCAGTCAAAAGTTTACAAATAACCTTTGACAGATGAAACACAGGTATCTAAGATGATATAAGCAATCCAGATTCTACTGGCATTTCTTAAAATAATAAATATTTTCTTGGAAGCTGTGAGCAGGATTCATCCCTGGGTCATGCAGCCTATTTGTCCCATTTAAACATGTCTTGGAAAAGAGAGCATCCTGCCTTCTTATTCTCTAATAGGTGTCCTAAATGGCCCTTGTCCTTCTGGAACCCAAGATATCAGGCAGAGAGGATGGAGTTTGGTTTTGCAGGGTTATGGCGGTGAAGGGATTCTTCAGGATGTTCATGTTATTGTTTAAAGGTTCTCTGGACCTCAGCTCATGGTACTCTCCTTATCTGCCTTGCCCCTCGGAGTCCCACTCCCAGTTGCCATCATCTTGGTGGCCTCTACAAGATGGAGGCCCACACAGGGATGCAAGAAAGGTTTTCAGGAGGAGCAAATGCCCTTCACCTGAGTTCCCACAACACCCTGAAAATGTGCACCTCACTTTAGACTTCACGTGTGGCCCTGTTTTCCTGTCTGCCTTCTCCCACCAGATTAGACTGTCCAGGAAGGAGACGCTGGCTGATCCCTTTTGTTTCCACTATGTCTGAACATAGTTACTAGTTTGTCGTGGGGCCAAATAAATATTTAGCCAACTAATATAAACTACGACTGGCTCACCCCGTTCCTGCTCTGTGTTCTGATGATAGGATTGGGAATCTCATCCAAGAGTCTGGGGCAGAAAAGCTGACCCCGCTCATAGTTGAATTGCCTTTGGGTCTTGGGAGAAGCAAGGTCATGACTCAGAATCCCTGCTTGAACTCTTTATTTTTTGCTTGCTAATCTAGTGGAGTGCCTCTAAGTCCACTTAGACTTTGTGTAATATCCCAAGGTAGTCGTATTGATATTTTACAATTCTCCAACTAATCAGATACAACCCAACACTTGGTTCTGGAATAGAAAAATGTTCTGGAAGACCTCAGAGTCATAATAATGATCTATAGGAATAAAGTTTTAATTGAGGAGTTTCTATCCATTAATTAATTTTTGCTTTCTTTCCGTTATCCAGTTTTTACTGGTCCCTGTTTTGGTACAACAGTGTTACATAGGAATGGCATTTAAGAACCTCTGATCCAATTAAGCAAAATTATATTTAAATGCATCACCTGTCAGAAAATAAGTTACTTTAATTCATAAAAATGTACAACCATTTTATTTTGACTAATGATGTTTGCTTCCTCCAAAAGGCTCACACCCCACTTCAGTTTTTGAAGAGAGTAACCATTTGCCATCTTTTTCCTTCTTAGGCTGTGAGGTTGAGATTCTTGGTGTCAGACCTACTTACTGCCTAGAATATAAAAATGTCCCCACGGATATCAATTTTGCCAATGCAGTCAGTGACGCTCTTGACTCACTCAAGTAAGTATCCCCAATTCTTAGCCATACCATTGTTCTTCATTTCTAAGACCAATAATGGATCTCGAAGTGAAGGAAGAGAGCCTGGCATAGGAGAAATAATGTCCTGAAGAGTTGGTGAACGTTTGACAAGGTGACTCTAGGTGCTAGCAGGGTATACTGGTGAACTAGGAATTTCAGGCAGGACACTCTTTGGAAACATTGAATTCAGAGCAAAAAAATTCCCAGGGGTTTGAGACCTTCTTTTTTATGTTGTTATATAACAGAGAAGCAATATAAATGTCAGCACTTTTCTAATCATGATTTAGTGAAAAATTGTATTTGAAAGATATCAATAAGTAAAAGGGGAGCATATGTGGTCCAATAAGTTTGGGAAAAATTGCCTTTTCTACCTTCTTCTTGAAATGTACAAAGCACATTACCATATGAAAGTCCAGAACCTTTTTTCCCCTGCTCCCACGTGGAACAATGACACAGGGTTTTACACACGAGTCTACGAACTGATCAACAACATAGGTCAGGACAAAGTCTCAAGTGAGTCCAGATGTCACTGGAAGTGGTGATCAAGATGTTAGGCTAGCTGGGAGTCTGCATTGGAAATCAGCAACCCACCAAGAGGCTTAGGACGTCTTCAGCTGGAGTTGAGGTCACCTAGGCTGCTGAGTGAGTTTTCTGAGTAGGGTCAAAGCAGAAGACTCATAGCAATCAGTGTGTAGGGAACAGGGTAGGACCTACATCCTCCCAAAAGAAAGAGCATGACTTGCAACGGGGGACACCAGGAGAGCTAACATTCACTAAGCGCATATATAGATCACTAGCACTAACCACATGCATTGACCATGTCTTCAGATGGCCTCAGACACAGAGGTAACCCAATATGGATCCCATTCTCTCATCGTCCCTTCTGCCTGAACAATTATGGTGAGCTGCAGTTACCCCTACAGAGCTATCAGAGGAGGAAACAAGACCTCCGATTTTGCTGATTCTTGGAATATCCCACTTCCATGAAACTTATCAAGAGGGGCCTCCAGGGCACATAAAGTTTCATGCTGTGATCGATAGGTTGGAGAGGAAACAGTTTTAAAATACTCAAAAATGGAAAAGTAACACATTTAAAAGGCTTTAATTTTTTTTTTTTCTGGCAGGGAGAAGGAGGAGGAAGAGTAGGGGGGAAGTAACCTTTCAATAAATGTTCTTCATATGGTTTATAAATCATGTGTTTTATATGATCCTGCCTCTTACCTGCTATATTTTCTTTTTCTTGCCCACTAGGGCTGAAAAAATCACACATACAAGGAGCTGGAATATTGTGCTGCAGCCTAGTTTGTGCAAGTATACATAGCAGATGAGCTGAGCTGGGACTTTGGAGTAGTTCTCTATCTAACCAGTGCTGTTTCCAGCATATCCAAAATGCTAGCCATCTCTACAGCCTATTGCCATGCAAATATGAAAATTTGGATCATAGTTGTCATACAAATACCTCCAAATAACAGTCTGTTTGGCAGTGTGATCTCTTCCACATTCATCTTAGTTTTGCTGCTGAGTGGACTATGTGTACAACCCAGTGGTTCACAGGAAGGAGAGCAGGAAGCGCACAACCAGGAGAACCCTGGGTCAGCTGACAAGCTGGTCAACCTAAGCAGACTCCCCTGTCCTCAGGAATAAGGAAGGAAAGAGTGGAGGAAGAAGTTCTGGGCTCTAGTTCCTCTAAAGGAGTGTTGTCTTTAATTTTGTTTTGTTTTTCGTTTTCAAGCAATGTGGCAAAGCTCTAGAATGCTGGGGAATTTCATCTTTACCTTGGAAGTAGGGAGGATTTTGCTTTTGATGCCGGTGCTTGTGTGTGAGTGTGTATATATGTATTTGGCAAAGTTACTGGGATCCCCTAGAGAGAAAAAGCTACAAAGAACTGGAGGTACAGGGAGGTTGTCCCAGGCTAGGCCTCCACCTGGGATGGAGGCCTGGTGCTACTATAATCACTCAGAGCTCTGTAGCATTCATGATGTAGTCTCCAAACACAGCCTTGAGCTCCATGGAATGTCATTCACATAGCCTACAATTGGAACGATGCCCCTGGACAATGAAGGACTTGGAAGGATTGACCAGTCCAATGGAATTGTTTAATAGCAAAGTTAACAGGGTCACAAGGAACAGCCTCTTTGAATAGTAGGTGGAAAGATGAAGACACATCATCAGTAAAATTAGACCATACTTGAAATGACCAAGAAAAGGCAAGAAAAATAGTAGGTCAGGTGATACTCCTTATGGAAAGCAGTAAGGTGAGGAGGCCCTCCTCCAGAGAGAGGCAGCACTTTCCTCAGCCACCCTATGCAACAGAACTTTTCTTATCACCTTCTTGCAAAGTAGACTGAAGGACAACAGTTGTGGGTTAAAATTTTTCTTTTTTCTGATTAATTTTTTATACATGATAGGGGAATGCAATACAATTCATATTACACATATAGAGCACAATTTTTCATATCTCTGGTTGTACACAAAGTATATTCACACCAATTCATGTCTTCATACATGTCCTTAGGATAATGATGACCATCACATTCCACCATCATTTATAACCCGATGCCCCCTCCTATCCCCTCCCACCCCTCTGCCCTATCTAGAGTTCATCTATTCCTCCCATGCTCCCACTCCCTACCCCACTATGAATCAGCCTCCTTATATCAGAGAAAATATTCAGCATTTGATTTTTTGGGATTGGCTAACTTCACTTAGCATTATCTCCTCCAACTCCATTCATTTACCTGCAAATGCCATGATTTTATTTTCTTTTATTGCTGAGTAATATTCCATTGTGTATATATGCCACATTTTTTTTTTATCCATTCATCCATTGAAGGACATCTAGGTTGGTTCCACAGTTTAGCTGTTGTAAATTGTGCTGCTATAAATATTGATGTGGCTGTGTCCCTGTAGTTTGCTGTTTTTAAGTCCTTTGGGTATAGACCAAGGAGAGGAATATGTGGGTCAAATTGTGGTTCCATTCCCAATATTCCAAGAAATCTTCATACTGTTTTCCATATTGGCTGCACCAATTTGCAGTCCCACCAGCAATGTATGAATGTACCTTTTCACCCCACATCCTCGACAACACTTATTGTTGTTTGTCTTCATAATAACTGCCCTTCTGACTGGAGTGAGAGGAAATCTTAGAGTAGTTTTGATTTGCATTTTTCTAATTACCCGCAATGATGAACATTATTTTCATATATTTGTTGATTGATTGTATATCATCTTCTGAGAAGTGTCTGTTCAGGTCCTTGGCCCATTTATTGATTGATAAAAAATTGATTAAAAAAACACCTAATCTCTGTTTTCTCAGGAGTGAAGTAGGTGATAGCCCCATCCAGTCTAGGACAGTTGAGAACAATCAAAACCACTCTGCATATAGCAGCTTTGCTTGCAATAAGGTGGCTCAAAGAAACCATTTATATTTTCATGGTAGGTAGAGTGGTATAATTATTTTCTGTGTTAGTCAGTTTTTTTTACCACTGTTACAAAAGGACCTAACAAAAACAATTGTGGAGGAAGAAAAGTTTCAGAGGTCTCAGTCCATAGAAAGCTGGCTCCATTCTTCAAGACTTGAGATGAGACAGAGCACAATGGAGGGAGAGTGTGGCAGAGGGAAGCAGCTCACATGATGATCAGAAAGCAGAGAAAGAGATCTCCACTTGCCAGATGCAAACATATACCCCAAAGCCACACACCCCAATGCCCCACCTCCTCCTGCCTCCAACTACCACTCAATTAATCCCATCAGGAGGTTAATGCACTGATTGGGTTAAGGCTCCAATAACCCAATCATTTCTCCTCTGAACCTTCTTGCATTGTCTTACATGTGAGCTTTTGGGGGACACCTCACATCCAAACCATAACATTTATCCTTCCATCAGAAAGCCCTGAGTAGAGGAATATGTCTAAACCACCACAGCTCAACTCTTGATGTCTGTTCAATGCTAACTCAAATTTCTAACTATAATTTGGAGAATACTTAAGAATTTTCGCACCTAAGTGTCCAAACATACTCCACGTTATTCCAGGTCAGTCCTGCTCATACAGTGTCGATGTCCATTTTGCAGAGAGAATGGGACACAGGATAGGTAGGTAGGCTTTGAGAGAAGAAAGAAAAGCTGTTAAGATCTTGAACATGGAGTCCTACCCAGGGCCATTTCAGCAGAGGGTCAAGAATCTGCCATGTCTGTGCAGGAAGCAGCAACTCTTCACCCTGTTTCACCTGGGCGTTGCCCTCCATGCTCAGAAGCTCTGTTTATCCCAGTAGTATCCTTGTGAGATGCTCCCTTTGAACTTAGACAACTTTTTAGCACAGAGGAAAGGGGAAGGGGAATAAGTTGACATTTTTAATATCCATTTGCTAGCATTGAGTCCAAAGGCTTTACTTCCATTATCCCGTTTTGTTCTCATCCACCATATTATATAGGTGTTGTTCTCCCCTCTTACAAAAGAGGCCACCCACTTGGAAGGTTAAACCCTCTGCCTTGGATCTCACATGCTATGAGGTGTGTGACTGAGCACACAGCTCTTTCCACAGGGGCTTAGGACTATCTCCTGGGGCCTCTCCCTCCATCCTCCAACCCTGTCTACACCTGCATCTGTAAGATGCCCTGAAACAGAGTCATACAAGTAAAGAATCACCTCTTTGCCTCTTTGGGGCCATCTTGGGCCTCGGGCCCTGGCAAGGCCCAAGTGGAGCAGGGCCTTTTGCAGTCTGTTTAGCACTCTATGCACTCAGCAGCATGTAGCCCTGGCGACTGGTGGCCTGCCATTACACATTGGGACTCAGCACGCAGCACCCCTGCACACACAGTCACCTCGCCTGCCAAAAAAGAAAGCAGCCTGTGATCCCCATCCTTTAATCCATCCTCCTGGAAGTTCTGTTGGCAAGATATTCATGGTTCAGTTGGCAGAAAAAGGTGCACCATGCTAAAGTCGAAATAAGCCCTCAATAATTCATGGGGTGGGCGGAGGAG